ACCCTGGGATCCCCCAAATTCCTGCCCCAAATTCCCGCCCCTTCCTGGGGAAACTGAGGCACAACCTCTCCTCTCCCCCCATCGCGGGACCCCCCAAATTCCCCTCCCCAATTCCCGTTTTTTTCCTGGGGAAACTGAGGCACAGAATCCCCTCCCCAACCCTGGGATTCCCCAAATTCCCGCTCCTGTCTGGAGCTGGAGCATTCCAGGGGGGAAACTGAGGCACAGCGCCCCCTCTGTATCCTGGGACCCCCCCCCAAATTCCTGCCCCAAATTCCCGCCCCCAATTCCTGCCCCGAATTCCCGCTCCTTCCTGGGGAAACTGAGGCACAGAACCCCCTTCCCTATCCTAAAATCCCCCAAATTCCCGCCCCAAATTCCCGCCCCACATTCCCACTTCTTCCTGGATCTGGAGTTTTCCAGGGGAAACTGAGGCACAACCTCTCCTCTCCCCCCATCGCGGGACCCCCCCCCAAATTCCCCTCCCCAATTCCCGGTTTTTCCTGGGGAAACTGAGGCACAGCGCCCCCCTCCTTATCCTGGGATTCCCCAAATTCCCGCTCCTGCCTGGAGCTGGAGAGTTCCGGGGAAACTGAGGCACAGAACCCCCTTCCCTATGCTAAAATCCCCCAAATTCGCGCCCCAAATTCCTTCTCCTTCCTGGACCGGCCTCATTCGCGAGGGGAAACTGAGGCACAGCCCCACCCCCCCCAACCTGGGACGCCCCCAAATTCTCGCCCCAAATTCCCGCTTCTTCCTGGGGAAACTGAGGCACAGAACCCCCTCCTTATCCTGGGACCCCCCAAATTCCTTCTCCTTCCTGGAGCTGCAGAATTCCAGGGGGGAAACTGAGGCACAGCCCCCTTCCCCCCCCCCCCCCCCCCCCAATCCTGGGATCCCCCAAATCCCCGCCCGAATTCCCGCTCCTTCCTGGAGCTGCCGCATTCCAGGGGGGAAACTGAGGCACAGACAACACCCCCCTTCCCCCCCCCCGCTGCCATCCCGTGATTCCCGGGAGAACAATGGGAACAGGGAGGGGGAACGGGCAGGGGGCAGGGCGGGGGCGGGGCAGCCCCGGGTCCGCCCGCGGGGACGGCGGAGGCGGGGGAACAGATCCGGGATCGGGATTCGGGGTCTGCATCGGGACCGGGACCGGGATCGGGATCCAGGATCGGGGTC